ATCTTGAGGATTATCGTTTACAATTAAAATAAGAAACGAGCGAGAGAAGTGAAGCCAAGTGACGCGTAACGAAGTTCTGGCCGATGTCGTCAGGTAACCACGTTGACAGTATAATGACGCGCTGTAAAACGCTTTACAGATTTTTGTTCTCAGTGGTTCGACGTTCGTGCGACAAGCGGCAATATCATGCAATCATTGGTACACTAAATAACCAATGATCTTCATTATCGAAATGATCTAAGATCGTTAATTTTAAAGTGCGTCAATGACGTTTCGTTCTATGTATGAAGATTATTTTTTTTTAAAACATTGTGTACAACGTGCACGATCGTTGAACGAACTTTAACAAAAATTCAGATAGGGTGTGAATGTGGGGTGCCAAAGAGAGTGCGTAATTATTTTATTACTATCGATGTTTCTTTTAAATTCGTTAATATTATATCAAATCAAATAAATCAAGCTACATTCATAACTAATCAAAAGGATTTTGGGTGATGTTTTTGTTTTGTGATTTTGGAAACGAAAACAGATACATTAAAAAACATTCGACGCCACAATCTCAATTTAATCGAAAGAAAAGAAATTCATATAAGATTCATATATTTTCGAAGATTATTATGAATTGGTCTAATATTCATTCATTTATAATATATTTGTTAAATATGAAATGTCAATTATTTTTTTATTATTTAAACGATGAAAACAATAATATATTATATATTTACATGAATTTTTATATATTATATTTCAATATATCACAATTATATAATCTAGATAAAATAGATCATTATTTTTCTGTATTTTTAAATAATTATATATTTTAATACACATCATTTTATAAAATCCTTATTAAAACATGATATAAAAATCATACAAATGTAAATGAAACACAGCGACGCAACAGGCTTAATAAATACAACAATAGAATGTATTAGATATATTAGATATCTCCGAGAAAGATTATAATAAATCGCCTTTTTTTCTCTGTTTGTCAACGATACAGAAAAAATGGCCATCGCTGCTTCAGAGAATTATCAACTTAAATGGCACAGCTATGGTGCTCATCTGCACAGCTCTGTCGCGACATTACTCCATTCAGAATCCTTCGCAGATGTCTTGTTAGCAACATCCTGTGGTCGGCACGTGGCGGCTCATCGATTTGTTCTTGCCGCTTGCTCTTCGTATCTTAGTCATATTTTTCAAACATGTCATTTCGGTGCAAACACAAACGCTCCAATAATTGTGGTTTGTATATTTTTATTGGCTTTTGTTAATGAAAAAATATACAAGACAATATTCTATTCATTATATTGCAGGTATTACCAACAGAAATTGGTTATCGTACATTAAAGATACTGATTCAATATATGTACAGTGGTGAAGCTACGGTAACGAATGATCAATTAGAAGGTGTATTAAAAGCAGGCGATATATTACGTGTACGTGGTTTATGGAGATCTAATACTGGAAGTAAAAAAGAAAATATACAATCGAATAACCAGAAAATGGATAGAGAAAAACGAGAGCAGCCACCTTTAACTGGTCAAATTCAAAAAATCAAATTGATTCAACCGAGCACAGAAAAAATTGTTGAAAATACACAACAGAATACACCAATACAAAATAATATTCAACCTCAAAAACCTATGTCAGAAAGAAAAAGTATTGAGAAAATTGAAGAGAAAACTAGCGAACCAGAATCTAAAAAGGTTTTGGAGGAAAATAAGAATAATGAACAAAATAAGAATAAGGAAAATGTGGAAAACAATGGTAAAAAAAGGAAAACAACTAATAGTGATGTAGAATCTAATAAATCTAAAAGTGAAGATGGCGAAAATGTAAGATGATCTTATATAATATAATTTATCAAATATAATAAAATATTTTTATCTTATGTGTTTTAGACCGAATTGAATTTAGAACTTTTAGTAAAAGATGAACCAATTTGGGAAGAAACTATTGACCCATCAGAATCATTAACGATAGATCACGAGATTGATATAAAACCGGTATATAATATTTTAATTTATTTTAAAGATTCTTTTTAACAAAAAATGTGTATTACAATTCATTACAGGAAATCGTACATAGTGCAGATGAAGAAGAAGAATACAGCCCATTAACGTGCGATATGTGCAGTCAAACATTTAATCGACCATCAGATTGGGTAAGACATATTGAATTTACACATGCTGATATGACCGAAAATCGAAGAAAAAAGAGGAAGGTAAGAATAAATATAATATAATATTAGTTAATTTTATATATTAAATTAAAAAAAATTATTATTACGTATTTTTTAGGGTGATGTAGATGATGATAGCAAAGATTTTCCACCTTTAAAATGTGATCTTTGTGGTAATATGTATTCAACACCTCAAGAATGGGTACGTCATATACAAACCGAACATACAGAAGAGCAATTAGCTCTAATGAATAACTCAGCGCCTCCTAAACCAAAAAGAGTTCATAGTCATCAAAAATTGTGCAACATTTGTCAAAAAGAATTTCCAAGTCATGCGTCGATGGTAATTCATCAAAGAACGCATACGGGGGAAAAGCCTTTTCTTTGTTCCTATTGTAAAAAAGGCTTTAACGTAAAAAGTAATTTATTAAGGCATTTAAGGACATTGCATGACAAATATGTACATCCCAGTTTATATGGGAGTAATGGCAACACGAATGCTTAAGCTCTTACATAATTTTTTAATTGTACATGTTTTTTTTTGTTAATATTTACAGAGCAAATACCACATAACATCTCACACTTTTTAAAATTATATTTATAGACTGAAAAAACAGTATATGCATTGATAATCTCGCATAAGCAAATTATCAAATTGGTCCAAATAATTACCGATAGTATCGATGTATGTGGTATCTTCTTTGAAAATGAATAAGTATTAACAGTTTCATTAATTTTAAATGGATAATTTCATATTTTCCTTTTACATTAAATTTGATTATGTATTAACATGAATGCGTATTATTTCATTATGTATAAAAATAATTGTTTTAATTTTAAATGTGAAGCTATTATATTAAAAAGAAAAAAGCAATATCAGGGCTTTAAAACTAAAGAGGCTGATTACTATTGCCAAAATATCTTGTTTTATTGCTATTTAAATTTACTTTTGAACGTAGAACAAGATGTGGAAAATATTTTATTGATTTGATTTAAATGCATAAAAATAAGAATTAATGATAAACAGGTCTTCGCAGTATGGGCGTGTAAAATAATTTATAGTATAAATCAACATCTATTGATATATAATATATAATTATTTAGTAATTATATGAGATCCAAATTATGTAAGATTTTACTGTATACTTTTAGGCTATTCCATCCATGATAGCCCACTTATTCCCCCAGCTCGTAAGTTAATTATGTATTTTTATATTAAACTAGCTTATACATAAAAGATATAAGAAATAAGACAATTAAAAATAAGTGAAAAATTTAAATTTCAATTAGGCTAGGATATAAGAAATAACACATAATTCAAAATTTATCAAATGTTTTGGAAATATATTGAGTTCTTCTTATATAAAAAAAATGCAATATTATCAAAATATTGTCACAGTTTATGAAACGGTAACAATTATAAATCTTATAAGAATGACACCATATTACCATGATTGTGTCAATGATGAATCTTAGTGTCAATTCCACGTTGCGCTAACACTGTGACGAGCCAAATGACTTTTAAATGTAAAATTTAAATATATTACCTTCAAAGTATTTCTAATTATCCTTTTATCGTTCCTCAATAATGAATATCAAAATATATCTTTTTTTATCTAAATAATCATTCACTATTTATATTAAGATTTTGAAAATATTTAATAATAATTTTTAATATGATAAATATAACAGTAAAAAAATCAAAGTACACGAAGTTAAAGCAATGCTATATTGATAACTTATATAAAAAAGTATTCAAGATAAAAAAGATAAAAAATTCCAATTTTAAAAAAAAATTAATTTTCTTCATCATCATCAATTTTTGGTGCCAGATAATATCTAATGTGTCCAATATCCCCAATTTTGTATTCACATACAAGGGGCACATCATTAGACATTGATAATTGTACTTGTGCACATAAGGGTCCAGCCTTTATAAAACAATTAAGATAACGACATGAAAATGTTAATTTTACTGGTTCTTGCATATTGACAATTACTGCTTCTTCTTCATTATCTGCATCTGCTGTTTGTGCTAATTTAACAGTAGCTAAAAAAAAGAGTAATTTACATACAATCATAATTTATAATATTAATTGTATAGATATATTTTTACATTTTGCAATATATACTTTTTATAATTCATTTGTATTTTAATGATTTTTAGTACAGAAAAAAATTTTTTCCTTTAAATACACAAATGTAAACAGACATGTATATAAACATATATATGATGTATTCTTCATAGCAATGAAGGTCAATCAAGCAAATACATTCTAGCATATTATTTCAAGCAGTAACTATATAACAGTTGTGCTTGAAAAGTGTTGACTACAAGATGCTATCCAAATACAATAAATATTATATAACTAATGTAAGTATAATTAAAATGTCTATACATACTCTACTATTTTTTTTTATAACAAAAGAAATTGATATACCTTGTCCATAATCTCCAGAAGCACTAAATTTTATACCTTCCTTAGAACATGAAAATGTTATTGATTCTCCAAATTGACTTAAATCTCTACAAATACGTGAAAATTCTTGAGATGGCATTTTTACAACACATGAATATGAAGTTTCCTATGATAATATATTATATTTTCATTACATTATTTAAAAAAAAAAAAATTCTATATATAATGTGTAGAATCTTACAGGAATACCAAGATGTTCTTGATCCATATTTATAAGTTTCATTTCATATTCTGCAAGTTTTTCTTTATTTGGTGATTCAAATATAAATGTAATATTTTCTGGATTATCCACTGCTCGTAATGTCACTGTATCTTCTGAACCAGCACATCGTAGAATTTTGGACATGCTAAAAATAGTTTATTTTATTTACAATAAATGTATCATTTTATTATATATATTATTATATATATAAAAACTCATTAAGAAAATAGAAATACAAATATAATACTTATATATGAAAATATTTACTTACTGTAAAAAAAACATAACCTTGATATATATTATATTAAAATTATCATCTTACCATGCAATAGTCATGCCCATTGACAAATTTCTATCGCATCTATATTTATCAAAACCATCGCTTCTAAGATTAAGAGAAACTAAGGAAACATGAGCATTATCCATTGCTTGTACTTGGATACCAGAATCGGAACATTCGAACGTGGCTTCAGTTAAAAGATCTTTTATTGCATCTAATACTTTCTTCAAAATCGCACTTTGTACTAAACGCGCTTCGAACATTTTTCTTAATTTTTTAGATTTTTTCTTTACACAATTGATAAATATAACAAATATTGACAATTAATAGAATTACTACAACCGTAACGATACCCGCGCTTTATTACCGCCTTTATTACTACTAGGAAATAGATGGCATTTGATATGTACCGGAAATATATTCAATTTAAAAATTTTATAATTTTTTAACAAAATCTTGATTTAAAGTTGATTGAATTAATTCATATAATTCAAATATAGTAAAACAATTTTTTTTCTTTAATACAAATTGTAATTTGGTTATTTTACATTAAAGCATATATTATTTATTTAATAATATATTTATATAATTATTAGTATATTTCAAAATTTTTATTTCAAAATACGAATCGCAAATATATGAATCATAACATAAATTATTAGAAAAAACATTATTCAACATTTTATATAGTATTTCGAATAAAAAATCACACAAAAGAAAAAATTAATAAAAAAAAATATAAAATCTTATATTAGAAAATAAATTTTAATGAATATTGTTTTTATTAACAAATTTTTAAAAATTAAAAATGTTTTTAAAAAATAGCTTTAACTGAAAATACAGAAAATAAATTTAATTATATTCACAATTGTTTACATAGAGATATATCCATATTTAAGCGTAAAAATTTATAAGATAAAAACACATTTGATGTAAAAGTACATAATACATAACTAGTAATATTATTTTTATAAATAAATGCAATTTCACTCATTATACTTATTATTCAATTTTTAAACTAGAATTATTTACATATTGTGTATGGCATTTTTTCTTTTTTTTTTTAAATCAAAGATTAATTATTTTTTTAAATTAAAGATTAATATGGAAATTTAGTAATTGATATTAAAAATTACATGAATATATTAAAAACTGATATTACCAACCATATTCTCTAATTGATTAAACATGTGATCAAGATGCTGAAACAAAAATCATAAAAAATGAATTTTATTTAAAATTCTGTATTTTATTTTTAATATATATATTATAATTATATTATAAATATATTTAATTTCAATATTAGCAACTAAATATATTTTACGTACATCTGATGGTTCATTATCTTCTGCTATTTCTTCTTGTTTGTTATTTCCAGTTTCATCTATTTCTTCTTCATCATCTTCTTCATAATCGTCTTCATTATCTTCATCATTATCATCTGAATCATCTTCTTCTTCTATTTCTTCATCATCATCATCATCATCATCATCTACATCATCATCTATGTCATCAATATTACATGACATTTCCATTTCTTCATAATCTTCTGGCTCTTCTTTAATTTCTGTAAGCATTATCGTTTCTGTAACTGGTTCTCTTTCAGTTGAACAAGATGGAGGAGCTTCAGATGCAGAAGGTATTTGAGGTGATTGAGCAGTCTAAAAAAAAAGATTTTTTATTTTTATTTATTTTTTTTCTATTTGAAATGTTTTTTTTAATATATAATATTTCTGCAATATACTTGTACCCATGGTTGCTGCTGTTGTCCTGATTTAGCTGATGTGATTGAAGTTGGTGTTGAAGAAGAAGAAGATGATTGCAAATTTGTATTCTGTTCTTGAATCTGTGATGTTTTATTTTGCATTTTATTACAATTATCTTGTACCTTGTTTTCTGTATCAGTTTCTAATTTTGTCACACTCTTTTCAATATGATTAACTTTCTGACACTTTTTTATTTGAGAATTACTATTTGGTTCTTCTTTAGTTTTTTTAATATTAGGTTTTGGTTCTCCAGGAAGACAAGTATTGCCACGTTGTCTTCTAAATCTTACGATAATACTTCTAGTATCCCACATTAAATCATGTGCTTGTTTATAAGCAGATATAGATTCATCTACACTATTATATCTTATAAAAGCATATCTACAAAATAAAATAAATGAATTATTGAATGAAAATATATAAAAATGATATATATTTATTTTACAAAATAAATATCTCACCGAGTATTTCTCATTTTCTGTGCATATCCTACATCTACTCGAGCAGCTGTTGGAAACTTATTCTTTACTTCATTAACATTAACAGATTCTGGTAAATTTCCTATATATAATGTATAAGGATCTATTTCCTCAGGCATCGGATTATCTTCATCTCTTAGAGATTTTCTTTCAACTGTTAAATGACCTATTCCAAAAGGTATTTTTTCTAATTCCTTTATAGCTTCATCAATATCAACACTTTCTGCCATTTGTATAAAACAATATCTAGGACCACTAGGACTTTGAAAATGAATATTTTGAATACCAGGATGAAATTCTCTAACAATATCCTTATTTAAATCAGGATCTGGAAATTTAATTATTAAACTTTGAGCTTTAACTGTTTTATTGTATTCATTTTCAATTTTTAAAGCTCTTTCTGCATCTTCTCTATTCCATGGTCGACTAGGATAACTTTGAGACATTGGTTTTCTTTGTTTAAGTTTTTTACCTACAACTTCTTCCTAAAATAAATAATCAATAATAATAAAATAAAAATAATAAAAATAATAATCAATAATAAAATAAAATAAATATATTTATCTAGCTTTTATTATATCTTACTGGAATGATTTTAATTTCTTGATCTGAAGTTTCTTTTCCATGTCTATTTGTTAAAATCCCTGGAGGTATAGGAGGTAAAGGATGATTAGGAAGAGGAACAGGCATATGATTCATAATTGTATCACCTGTAGATGTACTATAATTATTTCTCTGCCATTCCAAACCAAGACTATTACTCAATGTTGCACCAAAATATGTTGCTTGATCAAATTGTGTTTGAGTATGTCCAAATCTTGCAAGTCTTCTGTTTTTACGATGAAAGTTATTTCTTTGAATATATATATTACTTTTAGTGTGTGTAAATCTTTCTCGCCGTATGTAATTACCTCTAAGAGGCATTTCTCTTTGAAATGAATTTGTAGTCATATCACGTGGAGGTGGAGGAGGTAAAGGAGATGTTTGAGGTGTTATCCATTGCCATGGTGTAGGAGGTGTCCATGCTTGTATTGATGTAACTTGAGAAGGCACTGGTCCAAATACATGAGGAGGTGGTGGAACACTACTAGAAGGAGGAGGCATAGGAGGTAATGGTGGTTGTCCTGGTAAAGGTTGTGTGACAGTTGAAGGAGATGAAGAAGAAGAAGTATAAGAAGGATAGGAACCTTCATATCCAAAATTAATACATTCTTGTTTAGCAAAAGATCGTTTTGTTTCCCTATTTTCTTCAGTTATCTGAAAAATAAACAATTATGAATTAAAAGTAACAAGATATATAAAAATTTTATTACCATAAAAAAATTTATAACTTAATATTATTAATTTAATGTTATCAATATTCGATTGATTTATTAAATATACAAAAATATTTTATACAATCGCGCGCTGTCAAACTAACCTTTTCTAAAAATACCATAAATGAAATAAATATAAATTATCATATATCATTAACTTATATAGGGAATAGAAAAATAAATTTTTACCGAACGTTTCATAATGGAGATAAAATTATTGATAATCTTTAGATAAAAATTATGTTCTTTAAATTATAATGTAAATACAACATTATACGAATCAGCGAAAACCAATATCAAACTACTGATTGTTAAAATATATCACAGGAATACCAACCCTTATTTTAAATTTTTTATATTGATTAAACAATATATTTGATATTATTTATTATAATAATTACATAAATAATTTTTATTTTCTCTAAATATATTATTTTTTATAATTTTAAAAAAATTATATTTTAACTTATATTAATTTATTTTATATTATATAATTTTTGTATTTTTTAAATTATATAATTTATGAATTGACTATTTTACATTTTAAAACAAAAAATAAATATCATTATATGTATAATATAAATATACATATATATATTTATATATATATACATTTATATATACATATATATTTATATATGTATATATATATATATATTTTTTTTTTTCATTAAATAAAAATATAACAAATATAATAAAATCATTGTTATAAAAATATATAAATAAATTAATTTATCTTAATAAATAAATTTATTAAGATTTTTACGATTTCAATTATATTTTAGATATATGTTAACACAAGAAAATATCAGAAAAACAAACAATTGTAGTAAGTAAAAAAAAGGGCAAAATAAAACAAAATCAATTATTATTATGTTATTTAAAATAATTTCGTTAAAAAAATTATTATGATAAAATAATATTGGTTTTGCTAAAACGAAAAAAGAATAAAAAAAGATTAGATATAAAACAGTGTATCGCAATTGTTTTTTTTCTTCCTTTCTTTTTTTATAATGACATAATAATATAGTAAAACTAATGATTGTTTTATTCTTTCCTAATTACTTTGCTTAAATTTTATTGCGGTAATTTCCCGGTGCGCCGATGCAATTTCACATTTCTGTCTTTGGAAAAGAAAATTTTGTGTAAAAATTTTGCCGACAGATGCCCTTACTGTTAGTTCACTGAACGAGCATATTGTGCGTATAGTTTGTGTGACATGGCTACGAGTAATACAGAAGAAATTGAGGTACTTTTTTCTAATATTTTTTATAATATTACATATATTGTAAAAATATCATGATATATATTTTTCAAATCCATTTATGATTTGATTGAATATCGGAAAAAAATATAAATATTTTTTTTTTTTAAACAACGTGATCACTTCAATAAAACTCTTTACCCCTCCCATTTGTTCCCAAGCATGGTGAAAACTGTCTAACGAGCTTAAAAAAAGACATATTATATTACTAATATTAAAATAATCTGTAATATTATTTTAATTAATTTGATTCACTAATATATAAAATTTAGTTGTTTATACTTTATTTATATAAAATAAACGAAATCGATAGAAAACAATAGAAAGTAAAACATTCATAAATAAATCATTAAGGTTAAAAAAGCTAACTTTGGAATTATGAACATAATCATGTGTAGGAAGTTGAAAGGAAGGAGCAAGAAGTAGTAAACTTCGATGAATTCCCCCCAGAAGTTTTAATCAAACATCCACTTCAACATACATGGACTCTTTGGTATTATGAACCAGATAGAAATAAATCATGGGAAGAAAGTCAAAGAAAAGTTACAAGTTTTGATACAGCTGAAGATTTCTGGAGGTAAATTTAATCTTATCTTGAAATTTAATAATTTTTTAATTTTATTATTATTATATTCTTTTCACTAATAATATTTATATTTTAATAACAGTTTATATAATCATATAAAGGCAGCATCAGAATTAAAACAAGGTTGTGACTATAGCATGTTCAAACAAGGAATCCGACCCATGTGGGAAGATAATGCCAATAAATGTGGTGGAAGATGGCTTATAAATTTAGATAAAAAACAAAGAAATACAGATTTAGATCACTTTTGGTTAGAAACTCTTTTATGTATGATTGGTGAAGCATTTAATGGATATTCAGATGATATTTGTGGGGCTGTTGTAAATGTAAGGCAAAAAGGAGATAAAATTGGTGTATGGACTGCAAATGCTAATAGTGAAGATAGTGTTATGGAAATTGGGTAAATATAATAATTAATATGTAATTAATATATATATATATAATATACATTTAAGTAAGTGATTGATGAAAAATTTAATTATTTCATTTTTCTTTTACAGACGTAAATTAAGAGAAAGATTAAAAATTGCATCCAAAGTTACTATAGGCTATCAAATACATAAAGATGTTATGGTCAAAGTAGGAAGTCAAACAAAAAATGCTTATGTTGTTTAAATCTTATTAATGTTATTATCACTATTCATTAAAAATTTTTCAAATAACAATATGCATACATTATTAATATGGATATTACGCAAAATTTAGATTACTAAACAAAATAAATGAAACAAAAATTCAATAACAAATGATCAAAACCTACATATTTTTATTAAAATTAAATATTTTCTTAATAAAAATTATTCAACAATAAGTGTATACAAGTACAAATGTATACAATAGATATAAAAATTTATATCAATATCATACATAATTTAAAAATAGATTATAAAGTATACACATTAGGCTGCTGTATTTTCTAAAATATAGCTAAAATATATCAATTGCAATTTCTATTATGATATTTAATTGAGCAATTTTTTTATATATATTGTTTTCATTCCTTATAAATCACAAAGACTGCTAAATAATGTGTTTTTAAGAAACCTATAAATTAGGTTTATCAGTTTTAAATCATTTCAATCAATAACAAAATACAGCAACCTATCTCACTTTAAGATAGCATAATAATATTTAATGTTTTCATAATTATTTGGAAAATGATTATATTTAAGTTTTTCTTATAAATATATTGAAAAAATTAATATTTATTTTTTATTATTTTTTATTTTTAATTTCCTTTAAATTATTAACTATTTGATTCTAATATTAATTTCTCAGAAAGTTCCTTAAGATCCTTACGTCTTGCTTTTTCTAAAGCATGTATTAAATTTATTTTCCAATTATTGTCACTATATTGGGTTATATATAATTTCAAAGCCTACAAATTATTTATGTTACTTATATGTAAAGAATTGTATTTGAAATAAATCCATTTTAATTGTATTTTCTTACTTCATAACTTTGTTCTTTCAAATCAAAAGGATGTTTGTTCTGAATTGCATCAATTTGATATTCAGGTATATTTAAATATCTCACAGTATCTCTCCAAGAACGACCAATTCTTTTACTTAAATGTGATAATACTTAAAAAATAAGATTTTTTCATATTAATTTCATGGTTATTATTATATATTAAAAAGAATAAATTTATTTTTACATGTTTGTTGTAACTCCGTTTGTTGTAATTCCATTTCTTGTGTGAAAAGATTACTTTTGACATTTTTGTATTCTAATGTTGATTGATTTTCAAATTCATTAGAGATTTTTATTTGTGATGTACTATTTTTATTTATATTTGATAATTTATTGTCATCTTTATTTTCTGTTAAAAATTATATATATTAAATATATTATTTTATTATAATTATTTATTATAATTAAAAGTATTATTAAAATAATTCCATAATATAAAAATAAAAATGATAAAATTTACCTTTTGATTCTTGATATATATTAAAGGATAAACAATATTGTATGCTTTGAACATAAATTTTATAATCTCTTACTTTACATTGTATTTGAAAATTATTTAAAAAATTATTTGAAATATATATAAGTGGTTCTATATTATAACAATTAAGACAATCACGCTTTTCTAATACTTTCAATAATGTTTTTAAATCATTTATCTGACTTAATTTACGATTTGAATTTATATATTTTGCATAATATTTTTTAAGTATATTTAATATATTTTTATTAATGTAGTATTGAGCAATTGATAAGAATTCTTCTTGTAAACATATATATTTTATTTCTAATTCCATATTGCTAATTAGGGAAATTTCCTTTATTAATAAATTTGTTTCTTCAAATATATTTTAAAAATACCAAGTAATTATTTGTAAAATAAAAATAAATATATTTTTTACTTAAAAAATTTTCTAATAAAAAACTTTCATTTCAAATTTTTAAAAAGTTTTAAACTTAAACACTTAATAACTTAAATAATATATACAAATTCAATTTTTATTCATTTTAAAGTTGATAAATAATGTAATTATTATTTTAAAATTTCATATAAAACTTATAGAATAAATATTTTCTATTTTAAAATATTTAAAAATACACTATTAAAAATACACCTAACAATAGAGGTTATTAACAATAATAAAATTGCATTTTGTTATATTAAATATATTAAAAATTAAACAATCTTAGCAGTTTTTATGTAACATTAAGGTAGTTTTCATAAAAATCTTAGCATAATAAGTGTATTATAACTAGGTTTAGTTATATAGTCATAGACATATACAATATATACGATATTCATAAAAACCTTCATTAATCTTAGTAATTATTAAATTTTCAAAACACGTGAATATATATTTATAATATATATTATAAAAATTACTAAATATGAATGAATCTCAAAAAATACAATATTTGATTGTTGATACAAGTGCCTTCATTCGAAATGTATCTTTACAGGTGAAATATTTCTTAAAATATAAAGTCAATATGATTTATTACTTATATTATACAATATTAATTTTGTATAATTTTATAATACTATATAATATATATAATAATTCTAATAATAAATATCAATTTTAGAATATTGGTGTTAACATAATAACAGAACAAGATGTAGTAAATGAGGTTATAAATAAACGACAATTAAGAAGATTAGTTGTTTTACCATATGATTTAAAAATAAAAAATGCATATTCTGAAAATATTAAATTTGGTAAATATAATTTTATTTAAAT